GTGACGGCGCTTCCGCCAGAGCGCGAGGGGCGAGCGGGAGGCGGCGGGAGCGGGGCGGAGGCTGCAGCCTCACCCCGTGTGCCCGGCAGAGCCCGGTGCCTCGGGCGGGGCTCCCCCGCCCCTCAGCAGCGGCACTTCACGGACCGTTTGTCGGTAACGGGAACTCCCGGGAACTCGCTTCCCGCCACCCCGACCAACCTGCCGTCATCCTTCCAGAAACGCGACACAAACACGGGTGACACTTCTTCCGAACAGCCCAGGTCAGTTACCTCAGAACACAAGCATCAATCTAAAGGACATCCATCCCTGGAAGAGTCTGCAGCTTTTTACGATTAAAACTATTAATAAAAAACCGCCTGGACTACTGACATGAGAATAAACGTTCAACAGATTGAACACAACACCTTGAACAACAGTAAAACCATGATTTTATGCTGGTTTTTCCAAAGTAAGAGGGGAAAAAAAAAAAACAGTCCAGCTAGTGTTGGGTGCTTTTCTTAATACAGCAGCAAAGCATGTCACCTGCAACCATCGTTAATTTTGTCCTATCACTAATAAGCACAAAGAAAGAAAGTTTAAAAAAAAAAAAACAACAAGCAAACCTGAATTACTGAAGGGTTTTTTTTTCATTTCTGTTTTTATCTTAATTCTGAGATCTATATAAACTCAGAATTCCTTGCACGTCTGGCTGTTTATGAGCTATAACCAGAAGGCACACAGGAGGAGATCTTTTCTCTGATGCATATCCTAGTTTTGCTTAGAAAGCTCCATCAATATTTAACCGGTCACCCCTCAGAACACAAACATGGAATGACATCTCGCACTGCAGACAGCAGGAGTGGAGCCCACCTCTCCTCTGCCTGCATCGCAATGCTGAGGTGTCATCGGGATGAATCTAGTCTTTAACCGATGCAGTGAAGCAAGAGGTCAGAACCCCCAAAAAACCTTTATCTTAAAAACATCTGCCTGCTTTTTGACCACATCCTTGGCCTCCCCCAAGGAAGGTTACAGGTTCTGCTGCCTTCTCAAGGAGCTGTATTCTCAGGTTGATGTAAAACTGACATCAGCTGGCTTTGGGTCAAGGCTTGAACTCACCAATACTTCTGCAGTACTTACTGGTCACGTTTTATTCTTTATTTGAAGCCCACCCCTGGCTCCTCCCTTTCAGGAAGAGCACCTTCTCCAGTGCTGCACAGGGTAAGAGTGTTGTGTGTATGTACCAAGAACTGCAGATGCTTTAGCGCTCTGAACGTCCTTACAAAACGAGAGCAAACAAGTCATGACCAGGAAGTCTCAGACATCAGTAAACATACAACAGAAATTCCTGTCTAACACCTCAGGTTTGAAGGATACTGCTAGTGGCATGCTTTTAGCTTTTTTCCCCTTAGTAATAAGCAGGAGTCCATTGACATAAGACCATCTGTGACAGCCATGAAGGGCTGAGCTATCAAACTGCATCCCCCAGTGCCCTGAAGAGCTGGAGTGTGACCATATTCTAGACAAGCCCCTGTGATGCAGCACTTAAAAACTAAGAGGAAGAGTTCTAGTTGGCTCTACACACCGGAGCTTCCAGAGAGCTGAGAGAGCTGCTCTCTTAGACTGTCTCCTAATGAGAGCTCAGAATAACCCAAGAGAGAGCTGCTCTCTTAGACTGTCTCCTAATGAGAGCTCAGAATAACACAAGAATCTGGCTATAATTAGCAACAAAAAATACAGGCAAAAGTCATCTGAATTTAGGTAAAATGCATTGTTGCACATTACCCTCCTCATTTTGGCTACCAAAAGTGCACCTTTCAAATAAGAAATTACTGTGCAGTGCAGTATTCAATAATTTAAACCAAAACTGAGAAAGCACTTTTTGAAAGTAAAAAAACCTTCTTGTTTTATATAGAAATCCGTATATACCAAGCAACCCCTTCTGCCTAGCCAGCAAGTCTCCAACTTCTGTGAGCTGCTGCTCTGGCTTCCCTTGTGCTTGCTTACAGTTTCAGTTGCTGCTGAAGGTCATGAATTGATCCTGCACTGCTTTGCAGTTTCTCTTGCACTAGTGGATCTTCTTCTAGTTTGACCATTTCAATCACTCCATTGTTTCCAAGAATACATGGTAGACTTAAGAATACTTCACTGTTTATATTGCAACATCCCTGAAACAACACACAAAGAACACTGTCACACAGTTACTTATTTCTGCTGTCTGGAGCATGGAACTACACAAAATAACTTGATTATTTTAATTAATCATCATATTTCATCATATGGCATGTTTTGTATAGTTCAAATTCAAGTTATTATAGATCATGTGAATGGTTTGCTGTATAGGAACTGTAAAATATTACTGTAGAGATAAAAAAATCTTGAACCATACCACACTTGGAGGAATTTCCCAGTATAGATATATCAGACCTCTATAATGCAGGCAAAGCTTATACTTACTTCTGGGGGGGGGAGTGGCTCATCAACCTCAAATGTATTTGCCCTCTGGACTCTTGTATTTTTGGGATAATAATCCATTTTTAATATTGGTTTCAGAGTAACACGACAATTGATTTTTGCCTATTTTTGGATTATAATTGAAAGCTGTTGTTGGAATAAAGTACTGGAAGTAGTGCTACTTCAGAACAGTGACTTTAAGCCTGTGCTGCTAGAATTAATGGTTATATCCAGTATAAATATTATAATTACAGTGCCAAACAGAAGGTATTATATAACACATTTACCTTTGCCAGAGTGGATACAGAATGAACCTTTCTTTTATCTTTCAGTATACTGTCAGTCAAATCAGCGACCGAGAGCCCAACAGACCAAGATCTCTGACCTTTTCCCTTTAGAACTTCCATAGCTCTATATAAACCAGGAAAAGGAGAAAAACAGGATGTTTAGATTTTAATTATTCTTGTTTTGGTTTATATGTAAAACCCAAAAGACAGATTAAGTGTACCATATCAGGTAAAGTGTACTATAAAAACATGATTCTCTGTTTTGGAAAACACCACAAGGGAATTAAGAATTGCTTTAAAGAATGTCTTTATGTATATTTTACCCATACTAGTAACAATTCTCTTTCCTGACAAAAGGTGTAACTGCTATGTGGCTAATTAAATCAGGTAAACTGATCCAGATGTGTACTTTGCTTTGAAGTAAACTGCTTCCACACAAGCCCTCAGAAAAGTGTTCCAGAAGGCTTGTATACTATTTTAAAAAACAAACAAACAAACCACAATCAAACTGGCAGCTCTAATATTCTAATGTATATTCTGCAATGCTTGTCTTGTCCTTAGATTGTCACAGCCACATCATTGAGAACTTCAGAAAAACAGTGAGCATATACAAACACATGAAAGTGAATGACGATCAGACCTACAATTTCCTATAAACTCAATGTGTGAACATTTTAGAGCAAACTTTCTCCTCCTCATAAAGAGCTGAAGGAAAAAAACTCTGCAAATATCAAGTGCCTAAACATGAAAAAAAAAGATTATAATGGCATTACCTGTTAGCCACCTTTTCCCTTGAGTTACGAGCAGCCATTGCTTCTGTTTGATTTGCAACTAAATTACAACTGGTCCATGATGGTACTAAATGGAAACAACCAACATTTAAATGCACATCATCTAAGCAGTGACTAAAATAGGTAACAGATAAGGTGGGGAAGAAGAAATACATTTTTTAAAAATTCAAGCTTTCCAAACTTTCTTTTCCCCACAACAACCCAAATGTAGTTGATGACCTTCCGAGGTTCCCTGGACTGCTGAAATAAACTCTGTAGTAGCACCTTAAAAATGAAGTAATATGTAACAATTCTTACATTAGCAGTAACCTACCATATATTATACCACATCTCCTTCCTCTTTCTGTACCTAACCTATGTACTGTTATACCAAATAAAAAGCATTTGAGGTTGTATTTTCTGTTTTTTTTGTTTTTTTGTTTTTTTTTTTTTACTGTGACAAATGTCAAATACTTTTGCAACCAAATCTACAGTCTGGGCACACACCAAAACTGTATTATTTAGAACCATTATTATGAAAATCTACCACCCTGGTTATCACTACCTTAATTACTTTTCTCAATTATTCTTTCATTACTCAATTATTTAAGCAATGCCAGGATATTATATACTCACAGTCATAATAAAATATTCCTTTACCTTTGTCTTCCCCTTGTTCACCAATAATCCAAGCATCTTTTGCCAGCACCTCTGCTTTCAAAAGGTTTGTCAGTATATACTGAAATCTCTCAGTATCTAGGTTGGCACCTACTCCAATAACTCTGCCTTTGGGAAATGCACTCAGCTTCCATGACACGTATGTCATTACTTCAACTATATATGAAATAAAAACATGTTGACAGTGAACAGCCACTCAAAATTCAACACAACTGCAAACTACGAATCACAATTACAAAAAACTCAGGACCAAGTTGTTTACTTTAGTAAAGGTATAAGCATATAAGAACGTATCACTATTTTATTTCAACCTAAAATACCAAGTCAGGTGAGGAGGAGGTGAAGAAAATTCATGGCCCAAGTAAAGTTTTAAGAGAAGTCAAGTGAGACTTCAGAACGAGTCACCATGCTTCCCTCTATGAAAAATCTCGCATGCTTCTAAATTTAATTCAGCTAGTGCTTAATTTCTTTTCATTTGGCAAGCACTGTCTTCTCCACCTCCACAGCTCTAAATGATAGGAAGGGTAAGAAGCACCTGAGGAATAGAAAAGGGCTGTCTTCAGTGCGTTTACAGGACAGAGAAGCTTGTATGTACTTCTTTGCCTCTTAGGTAGTGTTTTTGCTTTGTCTTAGTTCACGGTATCACTGACCCAGCAGATTTAAACTTTCCACCAAAACACAGCTGCAATATTTACCATCAACACTACATTACATATATTAGTAGTCTGTGAGTCTGATCATATGGCCCATAACACACATGCACCTGCCCTTACTGCTCAGGAGAAACAGATACATAAAACTCACAACTGACAAGACAACAGCCAATGGATGCTAATCTTGTAGATACAGTCAGGTGGAAGCTACGTACAGAAACACACAGAAATACATACCTTTTCTACAAAACAAAGTATACTATGTTCTTTTATCTTGGTAACAGTAAAGAAAAAGCCCTCAAAGACAGTGTCCTGCCCACAGCTGAAAAGGAAAACATCTTTCAGAGTAGCAAAAATTTTGGACTAAGTGGATGTATTTGGTAGTAATTTATTTTTAAAACAGGCCAAAGAGAAAGCCAGCTGAGGGCCAGAATATCAGGTGAGGTACCAACATACCTGGATGAGAAGCAACAAGGAGAACAGTGTTCTGACTGTAGTGTGATATTGCTGGGACAATTCCTCTGAACAAATCCACATTGCTTTGTATGACATCAAGGTAAGTCTGAGCGTTACCCAGAGAATTAACTGTAAGCACCACAACTTTTGAATCAGCTGAAGCAGAAAAATCTGAAAATACAAAGAAATAGGTTTTAATAATTTATGTCATTCTATCAAGTTTTGGATGCAGAACAAAGAGCCGTCATAAAGGCTGAACTGCAGCATGGAGCTTAATTAGGGGATCTTCCCCTCCTGTCTGCCTCCCAATTTGGGGCACTTCCACCTGTAAAACACAGCTCTCCCACAGAACTACTTTTCCTGTTTCACAGTTGGCAAACTGTGGTGGTGCAGACCCTCCCTGGGCCATGTTGCTATGTCAGCACCAGCCAACACTGTGTTCTTCTTTTAATAAGCTGCACTGGGCTGGGAAAACCTGTAACTTTCTGATCTCACCTGCTGGAGCAGTGAGTTGAAAAACCCAGTACCTTCTTGTCGTGGGTACAAGTACAGTGATGTGGGATGATCAGGCACTCCCTAAGAAACATACCCGAGAGCCCCCCTGCCTGCACTCTGAAAGGTGCCAGGATTACCCGACAAGAGTTATGGCCACAATGAAAAAGTACTGACCAAATTGAACAAAGTATTGAACAAAGTCAATCATCTTGCGACCCTATAAATACTGATCCTAATGCAGCAGGCTGTGACCCAGTATCTCCCCCTGAGCTGGGACACCTCCCAGGGTAGATTTTGCAACATTTCAGACCATCCACTGACAGAAGCTGACAAAGGGAGAAGAGTAATTCAGTATAACTAGATTTCATGAGGTTCAAAGGCCAAGAGTGAGTAATTCATTATGATTTGATTTTGCAACATTTCGAGGATCATTTGGTACCAAGAATTCACTACAATCTGCAGAGAAAAAAACATCTTAATCATAGGTTAACATCTGTATCTGTGTCTGCATGCATGTAGGCAATTTGATTTAGGAAAATTTGTTGAATCTTTAAGTTGCTGTGCCGATTATAAGAGATTGTTGATTATTGCCTGATTAAGTGTTGCTAGAAAATCATACAATCTTGCAATTTATTGTCATACCGTTAATGAATCTTAAATTGTTGCTACCTTAAAGTTATATAGGACCCATAATACCATGCTGAATCAATAACACTGAAATCCCGGTATCCAACGTCCTTACACGTAAACCGATGACCAAGTTGGAATCCAGCTGCACCTAGACTCCTCTCTGAGAAGGAGTTCAGAAAGCAAGGGCGTCCATTCAGAACCTCGTCACTCAACAGAAGGGCCTCCCTTACCCTTTCACCCCTGATCATTGTGTAAATCCTTCTAGTTCGATTCTAACTTTGTTTTCCCCAATCCCTGTGTAAATCATTCTAGCCCAATTCTGACTCCACTTCCCTTTGCGTGCTTCTCCCATGTAGTAAGAGAGTGAATCTTGCCATCGAACTGTTAAGTCGCACTTTTACAAACTCATATTAAATCACTTCTGCTAATAGCCTTGACAGTGATTCTTTAAGTGACCTAAATCACTCTCATCCGCAACACAAACACAGAAGGCAGACTGCAATTTGTCCAAGGATAGCAGAGACCAGAAACCTAGATGGGGTTGACGGATAAGCTTTTCCAAGTTTTCTTGGTGAGAGAGAAAAAAAAATACATCCATGAAAAGCCTATTTAATTTTTATTTTGACTTTTAAAATAGAGGAAAGACTTTTACTCCTTTATCTTCTACAATTTTTGATCTTATAGCTCAATCAAGGACATTTACACAACCATAAAAAGTGTTTGAAAAGTATACTTATGAACTCCAGTAAAAGACATGGATTTATTAGCCCAAGAAAACACACAACTACATTTGCTGCAGAAATTCTTAAGTCAAAGCTTCCTTGAGCAGGTAACTCTCAATACCCAATACCTGAGTACCATACAGTTGATCAGAAGCACAAGAAAGCCCTCCATTTCATCGTGCAGGGGGTGCAAGAAACACAAAACCACCACAGACAAGCAAGGAAGAATAGGAAAGTTGCTCAATTCAGTTCCATCTTCCCGCATGGAAGAACTTTTGAGCTGCATCACCTCAGCCTCTGCAGTAAGACCATAAAAGTCTGCAGCCATCACCACTTGGCATTGACTCTGTTGAATTGTAAGCTCACAGCTAATTGAGGACAAGATTGTTAAGAACGAATTGTTTGAATATGCAGTGATAATGATTAAGAACTAACTATTGGCCATGTGCATATTTAATGAACATCAATCTAGGAAAGCAGTCCTTTTAAACTTACCTTTATCAGCCTTTTTGACACTGCTCTCACAGCTACCTCTAATTTCCTAATATACACATATTTTTTCCCCCTTCCTTCTCTCTCTCCAGCTATGACACTGAAGCACTAGCTTGGCTGTTCTCTGTTTCTGCCTGAGTCCAATTTCAGCACAGCCTCTTACCCTGCAAGTACAGACTCACATACTTCTATTTCAATGGACAGAATGAAAAAAGCCCAAAATAAAAGCGATGCAAGCTTGGATGAACCTTCCCTTCCCAATTTTGCCCTGATAAGATGAAGAAAATCAAGAAGCTATGAAAATATAATAATATCTTTTAAAAACATGGCCCATATGCCAGAGCCTCTGCATCACCCCAGGTGTCCCACTCTCATTAAAACGAGCACAAGCACACACGTACAGTACTCACTCCCATTCCAGCAATAACATCCAATACCTTTGCTGATCTCCACGTTTGGCAAAGCAAAGATCTCCAAGTCCATGATCCCTCCTTTTGCTGCACCTTCAGACAGGTCCAAAAGAACCACCTTGTCTGCGGCACCCTGAAGGAAAAAAATAACGCAGATCAACAATAAAACAAACCAAAACTTGTTCTTGTGGGGGTGAGGAATAAAAACCAGTATTCCTCCAATTCCAGTGTTTGTTGTATTGTATTGTTGTGTTGTATTGTAACAAACAAAATTACTGACCAAAATTACTGTCAAATCACAAGAAAAATAATTTAGTTTAGTGAGTTTAATTGGAAAATTACTCATTACAAACAAACAAATAAGAACCTCATAAAACCATCTATGGGAAGTTATAAATGTTGATGTTACTGTTGTCTCTGAGCATATACCCATCTACAGGTTATCCTTTTCCAGGGGACTAGGAGATCCCAATTGTAAGAGGCCCCCACTCAGGTAGGAATCCTTTAACCAAGGATTTTCCAAATAAGTGAATTCAATATTCAACCCTTTGTATTTAAAAAGCTGACTGATAAAACATGGCAGAAATTAATATTTCTGCGTGTCTGTAAGTTAACTGACAAATGACATATGCAGTGACGTGGCTATTACAACTGCTGAGCTATTTCAATGTGTCAGACCCAAGAACTAGGTTGGAAGGCTCCCTATTAATCAGGTCTGTTGCTATTTATAACAATGATGTACCTTAGCTGCAACTGCTAGCACACATGCAATACCAAGATCTCCAGCTCCAACCACAGTAATTTTGTTACAACATCCTTCGTTTTTGCCTCCACCAGTTTTTGATTTCATGTCAGTCTCTCCTACAATTGAAAGAAAACCACAAACTTAAGTGCTGGTTCACACTGTATCAATACAAGTATTACTGTTACATAAAGGATCACGCCTGACCACAGAAAATGCATCACAACTTGCAAGGTGTAAAACACAAATACTCTTCTGTGGATAGGAATATTTTTTCACTAAGTAGAAAATATAAGCATAATGATATCAAGAAGCTAGACACTAAGACTATACAAACAATACTCCCTCTGCTACTGTTACAGGTGTAAATATATACCACAGTCATAAATTTTTTTGAAATACACAATATTTTACAAGAGATGCAAAATGGAATTTGATTAAAATACAAGGATCTGAGGTTGCTCAGCCAATGCTACTGGTAACATGATTCTCATTCTGACTATAATCTCCAGAGAGATTTCTAACAGAAACATTAAGATTCATTGACTAGAAATGTGTATTGTGTGCACACACATGTGTGTGCTCACAAGCATGTATGTGTACACAATTGTCAGAAGAAACAGCAGAAAAGGGTTAAAGGGAAAGTTTTGCACTAGTTGCCACAGATCACCATCTGTGACTTCATAAAAGAAGGAAGAAGAAAAGGCTGACCTGAAGAAAGTGTGTCAGGATGAACACAACAGGACTGGAGTCATAAAGTACCCAGATAAGGAAAACATGAGAACTCATTCAGGAATTTTACCAAAGATTTACAACGGGTGAGATAAAGTAATGATGCAAAAATGCCAAATAGCGTCCACTCCTGAAGGGTGTAAAAAACAAGTCTGAAATCAGCTTGTCACCACCAAACAAGAACCCAAGAGACATGAATATGGGCTCAACAGCCAGCACTCCTTGTCCTCAGTGTTGCACACCTGTGACCATAGTCAGACAGGTCTCAGGGCTTCTGACTGTGGATGCGAGAGTGTGAATAAGATCTGAGAGAATGAATGTGATTGCATAAAGTCAACTTGTTTATAATAAAATCACATTTCCCTTCCACAAGATCTCACATTGAGTTTTGCTGCAGTCATTACCAACAAATGAGCAGTACCAAGCCTACAGCATTCTTCTGTAGGCTTAAATGCAAACATCCAAAATGAGCTGTTTATTCGAATAAGAGAATCTGAGCTGTCGGTTCAAAAAGAGGCACTTTTGATTATACAGAGAAAACAACAAACACTGTGGACATGCAAACACCAAAAATTCAGATATTAAAATTGTGTAGGCATCTTTGAGATGTCAAGTAATAACAATGAATAAAAGAGATATTGTGTGGGAACATTAGAAATGTATGAAAACATCCACACCTTCAGTAATCTTTGCAATGTAGGAGAGAAGTTCTGATTGCCTGGCTGCATCAGAAGATGACAGTGAATACAAAGGGAGCTCTTCCTCAAATTTTGCAATCATTTCCTTGATTAATCCAATGACAGTTGATTTAGGCTGAAATATAGCAATGCAGAAGGCAACACAGTTGACTAGCTATTTTAGTCAGTGGTATCAGCTGTAAACTGCACTATTTCATAAAGAACCATAGCTATACAAAATTTACTCAAATTATAAATATTGACACCCTTAACACTTACATAAACACTTGAGGCAAAGAAAAGCCTGGGAATTTTTATATCACAAATGAAAAAGACATCCCATCCATTTCAGAAAACTAGCACTTGTTAAATCATTTTTAGTGGTTATTGAATACAGTGCATACAATCATTTAGCAACAGCACTGGCTTTTGACTCTCGGTGCTAATGTTTCAGAGTTCTGCGAAGAGAGACACACCCAAAAGGTAGGAACTTCCCTTGAACTTTCTTCAGGGATACTCAGTTGTACGATTATTCATTATTCACAGCAACAAAGGAAAAAGTATCAAAGGGTCCACATGAGGTTTATACTGCTTTATAATGGTCAGCCCCTTTTTACTTCAGCTTAAAATAGTTTTCCTTAAAATAACTTACAACTTCCTTTACAATAGCTTCATTAAGTCTGAAAGCTTAAATTTCAAGACACACAACATTCTACTTCTCTTTGCATAATCATTACATATTTAAGATTAACAAAAAATGTCAAAAACAAAAAGCCACAAATCCTATCCACTACTCTCCACTGATCTCCATGTGATACCATGCTTTATTAGAATCATAGAATGGTTTGGGT